AGTGGGGGGTGAGTTTAAGCACAGCTAAAATCCATTAACGTGAGCCGAGTGATTACATTTCAACTTCTCCCTGGGCAAAGCTATTTATCTTTCTCCACTGGAGCAATGTCATCATTTTTAATCGGCCTATTTCGCAAGCTGGCTGGACATATGCTAAAGCATCAAGTCCAAGCTCAAATCCGGGTGACCTAGTGTTCTCCAATAAGAAGTCATATTCCATGAGGGAGATAGTTATCTTTTAGAAGAGGTATGCTTTTTATATTAATATATTAATGTACAGTTTTTTGTTTTATATATATATTCCTTCTGAGAGGAGCATTTGTTGCCAAGACAACACATTTATATATACACAAACAGAAAATTAAAAATTATACTCTATAAATTCACAAGAGGGCAGACCATAGCAAGACTCAAAGCTGAGTCTTCCCAGTGCGCAAGGAAGAGATCTTCAGAACATCACAAATAGGTCAAGGCCACTTGGCGAGATTTCTCGGGTTGCTAAAATGTTAATGAAGCTTCGTGCTGAAAAATTTGCAATGATGGAAAAAGGAGAATCCAACACTGACTCACCGACAGCTGCCGTCCGAAGCTGTTGCATGTGGGCTTCGACGACTGTTGGGTCCCTGGAACTATAGGCTCCAAGTGCAGGATAAAAGTTGGCCCCGATGTCCTCTGGGGGGCTGTGCCTTTCTTTGGGATACTGCGAGTCCACTTTAGAGTCCCAGTGAGGCAAGACGGGGTGGTCCCAGTGGATGTACTTGCCATCAAACTGCGGGTTGCCATACCATGAGTAGTAGAATGCATGCAGGTTGTAATTGGGTGGCGGAAAGGCCTTGTGTGCGACTTGCAGACTCATGGCTCTCTCCTCAAGTTGTCTCTTCCCTTCCGCTGGGGCTGTCCTAGCAGTCACAATAAGCTCTGGAACGTGCAAATGAGTTTCACTTTTTTCAGTCTTCCTGAGATGCGGGAAAAGCCCAAGAGCAAAGGGACTCCCTAACACAGAGCCCTCTGGCTGCAGCGACTTCAAGATAGTGGTAATGATGAATATGACCAGCAAAAATCCGGCTGCGGTCATGTATGTTTTTAACTTAGCCCTTGCCATCCTGCAAAAAAGTAAAATAAAATAAAATACATAAATAAGGTCATCATGTGAGTCAAATGTGCTTTGCCATGCTCTGACTCTAAAGCCCGTGGTTGGGCTTCAAATTAGGTTACACATCTCATGACTTACACCACTTCATGATTGTCTTCCACCTTGATCTGAGTGTACAGAAAGATCCCTCTGAAAAGGCATACAGGTTACTATTAAAACAGTATTTCTCATTCAGTACTTCACTGCATCCATCCAACAACTCACTCAGTAAAGCGTCATAGTGATCATTGAGTCTGTCCCCGCGACGCGATGAATGGGATCCCAGTCCACCACTGGACACACAGAGGTCCACATGTGTCTGGGCACACACAGGATTCAAACCCCCAACCAGTGAGATATGTGGCAAAAAGGTTTTCAGCTCATATCTGAAGATAAATCAGAAGCCAAGCAGCAACATGCCCTGTAAGATTTATTCTTTCTAGTCCTATTTCAATTTATACATCAACAAAGGAATTACTTCCATACATACATCAGGTATTAAGAAAGCGTCCATATCGCGACAATGGGTCGTCAACGATTAAAACGCTTGATTCACGCAAACACGTATAATAATTAAAACTTATATAATAACACGCTACAGGGTGAAACCTGACCGCTGGCCTCAGGTTCAAGGGTCCGGGAAGCACCAGGCTGGTACACAATGCCCCACGTTTTAAATTATAACAGCGGTTTTGCAGCCGTAATCTTAAGTAAGCAGTGCTTGTGCAAACGAGAAACCTCGTGACCACGTTTATTTCGGGAATATTTAGTACGTTCTGCATCGAATAATGCTGGTAGGTGTTCATATGAAAAAAAGTTTACAAGGATAGGATTAAATGAATACGAAATCAACTCAATTTCTTTAAAGTATAGCAGTCATACACGTCCTACAAGTGTAGTCAGTTCTTAATAATGAGCAAATCAACTGAAAACACCAGCCATCGTAGGTGCAATGACTGAAGAATGCACTATAGGCTACAGTATATTCCCTAAAACATTTACTGTAAAAACGTAAATGTATATAAAATAAATAACTGCTTAGATGCAGGACATACAATTAACACAGTAACTGTCATCATTTCGTTCCTGATGAGGACCGGGTGCAAGTCCATTTCTAATAATTGCATGATCTAGTTAACTGCGAATTTCAGTATCAGTGTATTTTGCTGAATTAACTAGTTTAATCGCCTACCTTAAAAGAGGGTCAACGACAACGCATTTTCGTCTTTCTGTTACCCTTCTTCCTACACAGTAGTATTTAGGCAGATTGGTAAACGCATTTATTAAATAGAAACAAATGTCAGACAAGTGAAAATGAAAGCAAGATGGCCTCTGTCACTGCGTTTCGTAACCGGAAAGGAGGGACCAACCCGTGGAGTGCGCTTAACTTTATGGCTTCGTGAAAGATATCAGTTATTATTTTCTACATGGTGTTCGGTATGATTGTATTTGGACCTCAGGCAGAGAGTAGACTGGCCCGACAGATATACAGACAATCGCTTGTTCGCGATGGTAATATTTATTATAATTAAAAAATTTGCGCTGTGCATTTACTGAAATAAGTCAACGGCAGCAAAGAAGCAACATGATGCACAAAAAGGATGTGTATATATTTTTGATATACCAATTAAGCGGTCAGAAACGTGGAAAAAAAGTAAGTTCGAACACGAACAGAAGTACACAAGTATATCTTCCATGTAATACCTTCAGCTGCTCACTAGGTGGAAGTAGACGCCAAACTAAAAACCCTTTATATGCTTTACAAGCTCAGGTATTGATTAAACGTTTATTAAAATACTAATAAATAAACAATTCAATTGGAATTGATTTTATACTGCTGGTTTGATAACATACTTCATGAGACCGATGGGGTTGTTTTTGAAATGAGTCCATTTTTAGGATGAATAAGTTACAAAAATAGGCAGCGTATACTTGAAATCTGTTGAGCCCCCAAAGTTAATGTAGACTTGTTTAAACAATGCAACTTTCTGTAACCTTGTCATCACTACGATCCTCTGATACCTAATGCAAATGAATCTACAATACAGACAGCACATTATTTGGTTGCAACCAACATTAAATTGACAGGCTTCCTGAATTATGAGATCGATGCAAAAGGAGAAAGAAATTAACGCAGCGTTTTTTTAATTTATTATTTTTATAGTGCAAACTGTGGTGCCATCAGCGACGATGCCTCCGACCCCATTAGAAATGACATTGTGAAATTCCACAGCTTCAGACCGCGCTGCTATTTTTATGCGCGACACATGGTTACCGTGCTGAACTGACACTCATCCGCCAGCGGCAAGTAATGAACACCCACTAGAATGAGCATCTAAGGTACGCACACCTCTCCCCTGGTGGTAGGAACTTGCGGGTAGCGGAGGAGAAGGAAGATTGCCCACACCGTTTTGGATTAGTGGACGCCAATACCCTACTGAATAGCGAGAATGGTGTCAGACTGCATGTCTCCAATCTATCAGTTCTGCGGCTCCAGGGGGACTTTTAATCGGGCTCCAGTCTCCCTTTCCTGACTCTTTTTCCAGTCCCAAGACACATTATATCCAGCTGGATCGGGTCGGTGCAGTGGGCTGTAATTATGAGATTCTGGACTTGTCAGCGTGTGGGTGCAAGGTAATTGCTCAAGTATGTTTGTGGTGACAAGAGCCTTCAAGAAAGCGAATATGCGACAGACTGAGGTTTGGGCCATCCTAAAAAGTGATCACTCATCTTCGCTATGCGTGGACCTGTGTTTGTTTACCAGTTGATTTCAGCAATCGAAAGTGGTCATTGACATCAACCCCCATAAGGAAGGGCAAAATGTAAAACGAGCTGCACTTTTTTTAACCAGGGAATGGCTGTTGTACCCTAAAGGTTATATACACTATAATATAAACAATGCAAGTCATTCACATTAGGAAAATAATTTAAGACAGTCACATAAATGTGTTTACAGAAAACATCCATAATGATAATGATTCTAATTTTTGTATGGTTTTTAATCACAGGACTGGCATTTTTAGACATGATGCCACATATCAACACCTATATAGGCCTAAGGAAGTCAATTTAAAATTTAAATATGCAAAATGAAGCATTGCTGCTTTTATCCTCTTTTTAATAGTATACTACCAATTGTGGGTGTAGTTTTTGTCATCTGACTGCAGCCCTAGACCATTTCACATTCGTAGGTTGATAGCCTACATCTTTTAGGGGGAACTGGATTAACTATTCTGACAGCAATCGCACAGACACTAAGAAAAAGGTGTTTCGCGTTGTCTCACCAGCTTCCTGCTTACTTTCACTTCTCTGTGCATATTCCTCTTTGTGTGCGCGTGTGAAATGGCAGCTATCCCCGGGGACCTTTCTCCTGGGGGGGATTCAGGGTGCCTGGGAGACAACAACATTGGCTGTGAGCTATTTCAACTTTAGTAATGACGGAATGTGGCATTAACTGTGGAATGATAAGAGTGTGTATATGCGTCCTTGTCTGTCCGGGTTTGCTTGCTTCCTTCAAGCATTAGAATGAGTTATTGTTTATGGGAGCTGGGTGTCAGGTCAGTTTCTCGCTTTGCTCAGATATGTCAGTAACTCCCAGGCGAAACACAAAGCGACTAGATCGACACACAGTTAAACATCTAGAAATCAGATGCAGCTTTAGTGCAGTCTGCTAATTCATGTTTTGCATATTTGCAATGAAGGTTTTAAGACTAAAAACACTTCAATCCACTTACTACTGGCAACTGGCAGATTGCAGGTGTCTGACCGACCTGCAGGAGGCACTGTTGCTGCAGGCAAGCAAGGGTCAATCTTGTCTTCAGTTGGGGAAACACCCTAATCATTAAGTCGCAGCTGCAATTGCAGTGAGTTACATATATCAAGAAAATTTAATCATCACTAAAAATTTGTCTCTACCCATTATAATGCACAAAACCAATTGTGTCATAGCTGTTTCAGATCTTTTTTCTTCATAGACCTAGAAACATTTATTCAGAAGGATGCTTTCATCTTCTTTTTAACAAAAATGTGCAGTGGTACAAAACGGCATTTTCTGAACTATTAAAAGTGCTCTTCAAACATTTACAAGACTGGGCTAAATATGCATTTTTACTTGGTAGAGAAAAAAAAATGTTTAATTAGGCTTGGTGATGTATTGTGGAGTTTGTGGGCTAATTTAATAGGCAGACAGAATTTTAGACTGTTGTTAAGCTAAGCCCATTAAAACAAATAATAAAGGGGTGTAATGTTTGCGTTATTATATATTTTCAAGTATAATATAGCTTTTACATTTCTAAATAAACTGATATAGTGTAGCTTAATTGCAAATAAATTATTAATGTTACAATAACAGCCGAATGAATGATGGGTAGTGGGCAAAGATGCATGAACATTGCTGCTTTCCAAGTGCATCGCTAGACAGAGTTTTCAGTCTGTTTAGTGGAAAGAAACGGTTGGCTGACTGCATGCAAATCAAAGGACGCTGATGCGGGTGCCGTGTGTTGAGGGGTGGGACATGATGAATGGGTATTCAGCAGCTCCTATTGGAGGAAAATGGGCAGCGTTTCCACACACGCTTGTAGTGATTAGCATAGGGCAGTGTTTCCCAATCCAGTGCTCGGGGACCCAAAGACAGTCCACGTTTTTGCTCCCTCCCAATTACCGGTTGGGAGCAAAAATGTGCAGTCTGGTAGGGGGCTTGGAGGGAGCAAAAACCTGGAACAACTGTGGGTCCTTGAGGACTGAATTGGGAAACACTGGGCATAAGACACACCTGGTGTGGGGTGCCAGTCCATTACAGGGCACCTACACAATGAATTTAGATATGCTAATTAGCCTAAATGCTTGTCACATGACACCATGCAAACTCCACACAAACAGCAGAAATAGAATTCAAACCCCCAACCCTGGAGATGCAAGATGACAATGCTAGCCACTGAGCCACTGCGACACCCTGCTTGCACTTGGTATCAGAGATATATTTCCTGGATGCAAGAGTGTAAAGACAGATCATTAAAGTAAACATGGTAGCTTTCTAAATGGCTAAATGAAATAGCGCAAAGGTTTCAGTTAACCTTTGCATTGATATAAGGATGGGTGGGGGCGGTGAGAGTCGTAGAGGGCAGGAACACTGCCCAGGTGGGCTACTTCCTGCTTTCTTTGTTTGTTTCCTGGAGAGCTTCCTTGGGGAATTAACTCTCTTCACATGTAAACCACTTTCCAGGCAATTCAGATCCTGAATCTATTGCTGGTCCTGGCAGAAAACAATCTCCGAACATATTGTGATACTAAATACCGCCTAGATTTACTGAAATGAGAGTTATGCCGAATGAATTACGTGTGTTATCAGGTGATCACAATACATTCATCTTGACTAATTTGTGTTTTCACTCTGGAAAAAATATTACATTTGCATTTTCTTTTTGCTATGTTTTTATATCTAGAATGCTGTTTCTCAATCCATGGGGATGCCCAAAGTCCACATTTTTGGTCCCTCCCAGCTCACAGTACATCAAAACCAAACAATCAAGAACAAATTGAACAATCAAGAACACCGAATACCTGGTACAGGTGTGTCGAGTTGAGAAACACCGATCTATGAGTATAAATATTAATACCATATTTTTAAATGCTCCTTTAACAATATAATTAGATAGCTTTTTCTGCAGGTGGTCTTGATGTGAAGTTGTATGCAAGAAGGCTAACCCCCACACGCTATGCAAATGGAAATTTGCCTGAACTCAGAGGTGAAACACGAGAGTGATGATGGGTGAAGTTCATTTTGGGTCATGAGTCAATAAAGCCGTTGAGAAACGCCGGGGGCCGGGGGCCGGAAGCCAAAGCCAAGCTCCTACATGCTTGCCATTACATTGTAAACATGCGATTCATAACACCTGGTTTTAATCATTAATAATTCCACCAACACAAAGAAAATTAGTCAATGGCCCTTTAAGCAGTGCAGTGTGATACTGTCTGATGAGCCGTCTTTCATTGTGCACTGAACAAATGAGCCTGTGCACTTGTACTGGAAATCTGATGAACTCTAGACCCTTGAGTGCATGGATGGCTCAGGCAGTAAAGTGGTCACGCTGATCTATAATAATGTGCACTGCAATTTTCTTTCATGACCTGGGTCTGCTCAATCCATTAAGGGGGAGCTTAAATGCAGCCTTATATGATTTTTCTTGTTTGTTTTTGTATGGTGGGAAAAAATGCAATAAACTTTAGTGCTAAAAGTGGCATTTGCACATTGGAAAATCAATATATTCAGTATGTAATGTTAGAGACATGGAGAGTTTTCCGACATTTGCATTTTCTCTGCATGGTTTTGTGGTACATTTTACTGCTGGATGTAGAAAATTGTCACTAAACCTTCAGTAAAAGTCGTCGTTGTCCTACAGACTGATGCTTGACTGCTCTTTGATGTTAGTGCTACATCTGAAATTCATGGAACACAATATTTCTCTTTTTAAGAACAGCAGAAAATGTCGTATTCTGGAACTAAAATCCAAACACGTTGTGTAAAGATAGATAATTTATAATTAAATGCAGAACTGCTTTAGGGTAAAAGTCTTAGCTGGAAATAATAATTTTGTGACTAATTGTTTCTTGTGCGAGCATATGTGGCTTGGCTGTGCACAGCATAAAGTATAACACTTGCACTACACATCATCTGTTTTTAAAGCACTATTTTTATTGGATTTACAGACAATTTCAAAATCTTACATGGCTCACGTCTTCAACATTCATGACTTGAAATGAAAAATACAGCATAGCAGTTTAAAGTATGTTTCAAATTGTTTAAAATTAATTTTAATTATTATTATTTTATGTATTTTATTATTATTATTTTAATTGTTTAAAATTCATTTTAGAATGTGGACTCATATCAGCTGTAGATGTATATATAGGTACTAACATTCTGATAAAATGCATATAAATATCTTTCATAACTGTTACATACAATCCACATTTGTTAAATCTTATTAGTTCTTATTGGCAGCCTTACATAAACACTCCAGTCATTATATGTATTGCAAATTATGTCCCTGTAAAAGGTCTTTGTTGCCATGGAGTCCAAACAGATTGTGTGTTTCAAGCGTTTATATGTGTCTTGTATAGCAGGCTTAACCAGTTTATTAATTATACGTATAAATGCATTGTGTGAATGATGATTGTAACTAAGGTTGACATACAAGAGCTTTGTATGTAACACTGAATAGGCTCCTTTCCGTTTGCCAAGTCAGTATTAAAAACACCTGCAACTGATGTGACAACTGGAGTAAAGTTCATCCCCAGTGGTAGCTGCACACTGGACTAAACTGTCAGCTTTCTGCTGTTACTTACTTAATGCTCTAACAAGTCATTCAAAAAACTGAACGTAATAGTTTCTGTATTATGGTCACTATGTTAATACGGTTAATCTAAACAGGTAGGCTATGGGAGTAGTAAAATTTGAATTTCAAATAGATGAAAAATTAAATATTAATAAAGAGCAACACTTAATAAGGAATATACGCCAGGGTTCATGCTGACTGATACTATTTTCCTACTATCTTTTATGCAATATTGCAAGGTTTCCTCTAACAGCTTCCTTGAAAACAAAAAAAATAATTAATTAATCGTGGTCTACATTAATGGAATGAGTAATTCCTTGGTATTAAGCAAACATTTATTCATCTATCGGCTTATTTCCTGTTCCTCTTATGAAAGGACCGACAGGCGATATTTATGTTTATCTAGGAAGACTATAATTGGAGTAAGCGATACATTCATTTTCCTGGCTTCCGTGTTTAATTTGCGCATTTGATACATCAGCTAAATGCATTTGTTGGGGGCTATTTCAAAACATTTAAAAATATACAAGCAAAAAATATACAAGTTAAAGTTAAAAAATAATGATTTTGGTCATTCTTGAATATGTTGTTAGTAGTATAATAAAGACTTAACAGCCTGGTAAACATTACAATTTGTTTACATTACTTATGGTAAGGGAAAATTTCCAAAAAGAAATTATCACAAGATGTTGACGGCTCGCCGGTGCTTGATTAAATGCCAAATAACTGCCAATTCCAAACGCGGGAGGTAGGTATGTTTAAATTATCGCTTCGCGGCTATGCCATTCAATTAACGGCATTTTATTGCGAATTCTTACTCCCCACGCCCCATCTCGCAGTGTGCACCCCGGCCTTATTCTAGGCGTGAGCCCATCCGCAGCCGTACGGACTTCTCATTAGTCATGGCGCAATTCTCTTCCGCTCGCTGAGCGACCGGGACCCGTGGAGCCGAGAAAAAAGGATGGGTGGTTGCGCGCTGCGCCGCATTCGTAATAGCGATTCACCAACCCCATCTGCGGATTTTCTCCGGAGTAGCTCCTCTGTATGCCCGGGGCTGTAACGCAACTCAAAACCTCACGCTGTTGTGAATGAGGGGATGCATGACGTCAGCGTTCGAATGTCAACAATGTAGCGATTGAGAGTAGGCGTTCCATTAGAGCGTAACAAACAGCGGAGAAGGAGAAGCACGCCGTACTGGATCGAGACGCGTTTTGACGTCCGTTTAATAATAGTTTTATAGCCGACGAGATACCATTTTTGCACGGCGAAGAACCTGAAACCCTACATCGAAACGTAATCTTCCTGCATCCTGGGAGGGTTAAGAAACTCTGGAAGGAAGTCACCATGCGAAAAAAAAAGATCTAATTTTGTAAACGGACATAAAGGCTGGACTTCAGGAGAAAAAAGCGAAAGTTAAAAGGTAAGCGCCATGAACACATCTCATGTAAAATATGTCTCTCCGGTACTAGTGATTGTGTATGATTTTGCGTCCGTTTAAATGGTACTCGTGGCTTGACATGACAGTTTAATTCGTAGTAAACCGCTGCTTTGGCTGGTCTTTCTGAGCCCCGCACAGCATCGTCGGAATTCAAATCCGAAAAGGCAAACGCGTTTACTTCTTTACGTACTGCACTGTTGTTTTTTGCACTATTATACTGACCGTATTCGTTTCGATCACGATCGCAAGTGGAGTCTGACAGAAAACGTCCGGATTCTTGCAGCCGTCAGCCGTCTCGCCTGCCGAAGTTGGGCGCAGGGTGCTTGTGCGGCGTGCTTTGCTTGTTTGTGGATGCACCGCAGAAAACGGACGAGATAGGGGGGGGGGGGTAGGCTTCGTCCGACTTAGCCCCGTGTTTTCCGTTTAAGAATAGGTCATGTAATTTTAGGCGGTCTTCTCTGATTTCTTGACCATAGAAAAGGCATGTAGCCCACTATATAACGCGATGCTTTATCATTTGTAACTCTCGGTGTGAAGTCATATATACATGCATTGTTTGGTATGTGGGAATTTGAGTTTTTCTGTACATTATATTTGCACTGTTATAAAGAAATTGCAGTCATACTATCTTAATACAGTTGTTGCAATAATAGTGGCAGAGATGCAGCGCAAGATTCCCACAGATGATCTATACAAAACATTTGCTTGTGAAGAAATCTTTTTTAAATCGTGCAATGTGAACCAGTACAGCCGGAATGCATGCCTTATTACGTTAATGTCGCAATCCTGGACTGTTTGTTACTATTCACTTATTAAATGTGAGCTACAGTAGCGTATGGTGATCGGTGGAAATAGGTCATATACAGTAGTGCTAGTAATTTCGTACATAGTTTTGACAGCTAATACGGTCTGATTATCACAGATGTTCAATGGAATCATCCAGTTATCTTAATACCTTAACCAAAACTGGTAAAGTGTGTGATATTGAATGGCATATCTAAAAATGTATATGAAAGCTTTTAAGACGTTTCAGGGGCATTTTAAGGAAAGCGTTGGAGAGGGTCAGCGAGTATTGTGGTCCAGGACACCAACGTTTGAGGTCTAGTGATATAAATGCAAGGCTTGAATGGAATCTCTGTTTGACAACAACAATCGTTGGAATTTAAAATATGAAAATTCCTTAAAGCTATGGATTATTTTCCAGATATTATGGAATTATGCAAAAACCAGGCAGCGTGGCTTTTTGCAAAATGTTACATAGTTGTCAGAAAAATAATACCAGCATTTGTAAATCAGTAAAAAACTGAAATTAACAGGAATTTTTTTGTAATATTTAGGCACAGTAGCAAGTGTGATTTCTATTGCATCAGTGGTGTTTTTCAATGACTGTTGAAATGTGTTTTGATAAACTGTCAAATAGCGCAGGCTGGGAGAATTGTGTTCGTGAAATCATTGCATTCAAAGAGGAGATATTTCCAGTGTTATCTGGAAAGTAATATTTTTCAGCTTGTCCTGTGGGAAAAAAAAACTGTAGGAAATGTAAAGGCTATGTTCTACTAACCTTATTATCCCTCTGATGGAACACTTCTGTCATATGAATAGAACTGTAAACAATATTGTGATGGGTAATAATGGAAGATTTACTGTTTTTGATTGCTAAAGTGGTTCCACATGACAGATATGGAAGTGAGCAAGTGGACTATTTACTATTTTGCATTGATCTTGTGCTGAATTAATGAGCTTCTCACATATCATCTTCTTCATAACAGCCATTGCAGAAAAGTCCCTAAAACAAGTACTAATGTCATAATCATTTTCTTTGTCATTGCATGTCTATGTGCGATAATGAATTATGCTTTACTGAACGTTACAGGACCATCCTTAAGAAAAGAAAAGTGACAGGTAATCGTTGTCCCGATGTTGCATCACAGTTGCAAGTGATGGTAAAAAATTAACGTTTGGAAACGGTAGCAACACCAAACCTCCAGCGTTGCAATTACAAGATGACAACATGCAACAACGGCACATACAATGTATGTATGACAGTGCAGGGCCTGGTGCTGCAGAGTGAACAGACCTACAGGAGCTGAGGTCTTTGGGAGCCGCTGATGTTTATTAATGTTTAATGTGCAGTAACAAAAGCATTCTTCTAAATGATGGATTCCACTGTAATGTCGCTTGCGTAATATTGCTGCCTTGGCCATAATCACAAGAGGTGACGTACCCTTGAAACTCTATAGTGCACTTGCTGCCTCATCACGGAAGTAAAAACACAAGCCATTACCGTGCTTACGTTTGCTATTGCTGAAATCTCTATTATGGAATTGCTCCACCTCTTCGATTCTCTATTATGGAATTGCTCCACCTCTTCGATTCCCTATTATGGAATTGCTCCACCTCTTCGATTCTCTATTATGGAATTTTCATCTTTCAGTTTTGCAATGATGACCTACTCTGAGCATTTTTATTTCACTCATTAGATATTTCTGCACATAAAAATGCAAAGATCTGTCCCGAGCATGGGGATGTGAGGTGAATGCTGTTTCGGTTTGACAGCGGCGGGTGAATTTGTGAGATAATAGCCCTGCTAACTGACACAGTGTCGCGACTAGCGGAACGAAACAAATGGGAAGCGAAGTTGAAGGCAAACAGAAAGGACTTTATTAAACAACAGAGGGCAAAACGGAAAAGAAACAAGATTGCAGGGAATCTAAAATGAGGAAGGCAGCGAAAGGCAGGGCATGAACAAACACTGGAGAGCGACGTTAATATATCTCACTAACAAGGGAGCAAACACAAGGCAGCTGTGACTGGTTAACAAGAGGGCAGGAACGAGAGGTAAGACTAAGGAGACCCAGGCAGGGCTAACTTAGAGCCATGCTCCCGAGAGGAAAGTAAAGGATCAGACGGGCAATACAGGCTGGACATGACACACAGCAGGGGGTAAAGGATGGGGTGAGAGAAGTGAAAACATTCCTCCTTTTATATCTTGGGGGCAGGTGTCCGGGTACCTTGATGCTACCTTCTCTCCATGAAGCAAAGATGTGTCACTGTGCTGGGTGCTGCAGAGAGGTCCAGGGGGATTAGGAGTAGCTTGTGGGAATTTTACTTGCACGAAAATGTTCTGAGGGCCAAAGGAAAAATGACTGGTTCAGAGACATGACCAATCAGATTGTAGATGAGGTGGGTCCAAGCAACTAGAGGAGGCGGGATCAAGACATCTGATTGGTTGGTCCCCCTTCCACTGGTTCCTCTACAATCTGATTGGTCATGTTTCTGAACCAGTCATTTTCCCTTCTGCCCTCAGAGCATTCTTTGTTGAGGGGATTCAGAGCTCTTTCAGCATGAAGTACATTGGTAGATATAAGCCAGACACTCTTCCCCTTATAGCCAGCTTTAGAGGCACACAAGTTTGTGAAAGAATGTCACATGCGTACAAATTCCGTGCTTCAGAAATCAATTACTTTGGTGGATTTACTGGTATGTTAGCTCATACTGGTGCATTAATTTTGGTGCTGCTCTGTCACTAAACACACTAGATCAGTGTTTCCCAATCCGGTCCTCTGGGACCTTTGGGCAGTAACAAAAGCAGGACCGGATTGGGAAACACTGCACTAGATGAAAAAGAGCATTCTAGAGTCACGACTGTAATCTCGAATAATACTGCCTACCGCCTGTGCAGATTCCTGTTCCAGGATTCAGCCTGTCACTTCCCAACAAGGAGTTTTCTCTCCTTTCCTCTTCCTGTTATTTCTTTCTTTCTTTTTTTGTCTGACGGCAGACTTAAATTAGATGAGGGACGAGCGGCTGCAGTCGCCTAGGAACCTGAGACTGACATTTAAAACAATCAGCAGATTCCTGGTAAAAGAAGTGAGATCATTGTTTTGAAAGGAAAGTTGGGTGGGGTGGGGGGGGGGGGGGAGGACTAAGATGACCCCGGCGGATTTGTTGCTGTCTGCCTGCCAGGGCTACTCAGCAGGTCAGCGATCTTGGACTCTGTTGGTGATGCCACACAAGAACTGTCATAAGTATTAATAAATACATATATAAATAAGAACCCTGGAGTCCTTATATGATACGACTGACAGGAAATCAGCATCCCCGGCTGGAAATAGCATCCCCACCTTGTTTGTGGTGAATGTTGAAACTAATTGGCTTATGATCCAATATGTATGAGAATCTGCACATTGAAAGTCTGCAACTTCTACATTTCTTTAATAGGTTCTGGGTTGCACAGTGGCCCAGTAGATAGCACTGTATCCGCACACCTCCTGGGTTTGGGTTCCACTCCTTCGGGTCTCCTCCGGTTTCCATGCCACAGGCCCAAAAACATGCAGTTTGGGGAATGGGGGACTCTGAATTGCCCTTAGCGTCTAATTGTGTGTGAGTGTGTGCCCTTTCTGGGGTCTTCCTGGGATAGGTTCCAGGGTCTCTAGGAACAAAAACATGGACTGACCGTGGGTCCTCGAGGACCGGATCGGGAAGGATAGATGTAACTGGTTCTCAGATGCTGGGAGGTTTGACCTCGTGGCCAGTGCTACTTGTCTGTCTGAATCCGCTCTTTTTGTTACATGTTCCGTTTGGTTCCGCGTCCAGCGACCAGCGGCACTCTGATTCTCTGACCCCTCCCCTAAAAAAATGGTGGCGCTCAGTTTCCGCATTCCTGTTCCAGTGGATCCGCGTGTGAGAGTAACAACCCCGCGATACATCCAAGATGTACTTTATGCCAACTGTTTCCTGGGACGGGTTCCAAATCACCCTTACCCTACTTGGGCAAGCCGTTATTGGAAAATGCGCGGATAGGTGGGTGAATCGTCACAACGACAGATTTGTAATATTTTGCCGGTGAAAACGATATGAAGCAATTGTCAAGCTTTTCTTAACCTAAGAAGAAAAAAAATCTGAAATATCCTCTGTAATGAATACCATCATCATTCAGTACATTCTTTTTGTGGTGTTAACACATTATCCGATTTTTTATG